CAAGAAACATGGGCTATAGTACATGGTTTTACTTTAAAATTGGCTAGGAGAGAATTTTGGTATGCACACGTGGTCTTATGTATCAAGTTTGAGTTAAAATTGGATTTTAAAAGTTCCTTGAGAATTTGGTCAAATACTATTAGCTATAAATACGAAAATTTCCAAACAAAAGAAATTGAGCAGGATTCACTGTGTTCTAGTTTGCCAAAAAATTAATAGAAAAAGATTCTCAGTGACAAAAATTTGAAATGAAGGTTCTAATCTTGTAATGCAAATTCTGTTCTACATTAGATTTTCAGGGTTATTATAAAAATTCAATTTTAATCGAAATCAGTTTCTACACTATACAGTTCTCATGCTTGATATTTTTTATGAAATTTGGTACTATAATATTGAGTATATGGTCTTTGGCCAAGCAACTTTAAAAATTCAGCTTGATTGGAATCAGTTCAAATTTTTACCATTATGTGTCAGAAAAAATAATTATGAAAATGGATAGTGAAATACCCTTGACTGCATGTACTGGGTCTTTAGTTAAACTTGACCACTACTGTTCATTACTTTATCTAGTATCTCTGATGTACATGTACATGTATTTCTGTAGGTATCCAATGGTGGTAGGAGGGTCCAGTTGTTTGATTTTGATGCAGAACAGGACGATGAAGACACATGAACTATAGTTTATTAGTACAATAGTGTACAGTTGTTTTATAGTTCAAAGTTTTGTTTACTATTTCTAGTGCATTATCTTTAGTTTTATCTTGTGCCATTTGCCAAAAAGAATTCTAGTATATCACCTTCAATAGCTCTAGACTGGTATTGGTACAATTGTACATTCTTGACATCAAAACAGGCTTAGTTTTATATGATAATAATGTTATACATTCATACAACAATGCAAAGAGTATGTACAATGCATTATACATTTATACTACTAAAGTGCTAATGTAACAAGCACTGATTTAGTGATCTATTATGTTGTAGTGAGTTGGATATGTCAAGCATTTCTGAAACTGGATGAGGAGGGTCCAGTTGTTTGATGTTGATGGACAGCAGGAAACTATTGAACACTTTGCTTCAGTTTTAGTTCTATTTCTTGTACATTACCTTTAGTTTTATAGATCTAGTTTTTGTACCATGTATCTTATACCAAGTTTTAGTTTTAGCTCTATTATAGTTCTAGTATATTAACCTAAAGTATTCAGTTTTATAGTATATGTTCTTATGTTGTGTAGTACGGTAAGTTCGAGCTGATTTAAAGTTACATGTAGCTCAAAAATCTGAACAAAGATAAGACCCTGTACTATAATAGCTATGTCGTCTTCAACTAAATTTTGTCAAAAATGGCTTGAAGCGAATTTTTCATTTTTATAATTTTCTAATGCATGTCAATGCATATACCCCAGTACATATGTACATGTAATGTAATTATGTTGTGTAGAAAGTATAAACTGATTCCAATCAAAATCAGATTTTTTAAAATTTGCTTAAAAATCAAACCAAAGCCATTGTACTATAACATTTTTGGCCAAATTTTGTCAAAAACTGCAACAAGGGAATTCTTAACTTTAATAATTTTTCTGATGCATGTACACATACATGTACATGTTCTTGGTGTGTAGAAGGTTTGAGCTCATAAGTGAAATGTAACATAATATTTCATACAACTATACTCTGCTGCAGTGTTGCTGAGGATATCTTTATTGTATTAATTAGCTGAAACCACTCTCCAAAAATTGGAACATTTTATTTCAGTATACTTTTTGACACATTAGCAATGTTGATTATGAGTGTTAATGAATCTTAATATCACACCACATTTCATATTAGCTACACTCTACTGCAGTGTTGCTCAGGGGCACATTCTTTGAGACTCACTTGGTCTTTAATTTGATTATTGTATTTTTTTTCACGGTAATTTTGTTTTAAAAAAGGTATGGTTCTGTTGATGGAGTTCAAAATTTACTTTTAGGAGTTCAAATAAATGAACTTCATCCAAATTAATTTTAAATGTCTTAATCTTAGAATCAACAAAAAGATAATGACTTTCAAATATTATTGATTTTTCGAATTTTGATAAAGTTAAATTTAAAATGATATTCAATTTTCAGTTGTTCTTAATGTTTCAATAAATTACATTTCATTTGGCTAATGGCCATACTCACAGCAGAAGGAGTCTGGCTACGTGAGACTAACAGCAGGTGTCTCATTTATAGTCATAACAGTTTGTCAGCTTATATAAAACTAGGAACAACACTGGAAAATTAAATGGTTAATTTAATTAACTAACATTTGCAGTATTAACCAAAGTTGGTCATTATAACCAATTTTATTTAATCACTTTTGGCAGCCATAGCGGCTAGTTCTACTTCTACCTCAGTTGGAGCAGTTTTATCAAATTATATAAAACTAGGAGCAACAACAAAATTCTAGTTTAACAATAGTTCTACTTCTACCTGGCAGCAATATGGATATACATGGTCTGAACTATACCCTTGGTGAAGATGTTAATGGTCCTCTACTAGCAGCTGTACTTGCTATAGAAATGATTGCTGCATTGATCGTTAATGCTTTTGTTCTTGTTGCTACTTTTTCTCAATGCAAATCCTTAAAGTTACCATCTACAATACTCTTTACTTCTCTGATTATGATACATTATGTAATAGCCCTCATATACATTCCATCTTGGCTCATATCAGCAGCATATGGAGAATGGATCTTTGGCAGTACAATACAAGTAAAAGAGGCAACCTGTAAATTTGCTGGATTCATACTGAATTACACTTTGCAACTCAAAAATTTTACACTAGCTGCTATATCTGTTGATCGTTGGTTATTCATTGTCAAGCCTATCTTTTACAAGCAATACATGAAAGCTAAGGTAGCTGTGGTCCTGGCTGTTATTATTTGGATAGTGTCTGCATTATTGAACATACCACCATTCTTTGGAATGGGAAAATTTGTTTTCTCCCCTTTTGGATGCTGTCAACCACAATACATAGGTGAAGTAGGTTACAGTATTATCAGATTAGCATTCATTCTCATAGTAATATGCATTATGGTAATTGCATCAATTTCAACGTGTTGCTTCACAAGAAGATTCATCCGGGAACATGCTCAATTAGCAGATGAGAGTGCATACGTGTCAAAAGATAGAAAAATCATAGGAATATTTGGAGCAATGCTCGTTGCGTATGGGATATGCTATACTCCTGCTATTATTGTTATTTTCATTGGTCTGTTTTATGATGTCAAAGCTGCAACATTTACTGCAGTGTTGATTTTTTCCCTGACACTCATTATCATTAATCCAATCATCCAGTCAATTTTTAGGCCTGATTTGAAGAAAGTGATCGTTAAATTATGCTCAATATGTCAAGAATTTCATCATTCTCCTGAGCCTGGGTGAACATGAGGTCCTTAAAGATTGTTCTGTTTAGATATAAACCTTTATATAACTATGCACAAATAATAGTGCTATTTGTGTATTAAGTAAATTGTTTTAGATATTTTTGCTTGTTTTTAATTGATAATTTTGTTCCTTTTAATTTTATTTTATAATTCTAAATTTCTGACAAGAAATTTAGATCAGGTATATGCATTCAGAGTTCTCATTATTGACATGAAATAAGCATAGTATTATTATTATTATGATATTATGTTATGCATATTATGCACTGTTGTCCAGAATGTCCGCCATGGGTATCTATGAGCATTACAAAGCATGTCGTCTTGTCGTGTGCTGTCCACACCCGTTAATAGTTTTGTGTTACCTCTGCATCAATTGTTAGTTTTGGTCCTTCTAGCAAAGGATGCATCTAAAAAATAGTATTTGCATTCTAATTTTGTTGAAACCTTTGTTAATATCTTGTTCAGTCTTAGTATCGCATAGTTCAGTATTATACCTCACATTACAGCAGTTCCGTTGTTATTGGGTTGCTTTTAAAGTTAATTTTACTGTAAGTAATACAGTATAGCCTACTATGAGGAGAAGGCCTGCATGCCCTCTAAAAAAAATTTAAAGCTGCTTCAAAATTTGGCCAAAGAGTATGGGCATGGTATGGTACATGGTATTTCATAAAAATTGGCTAAGAAAAAAATTCTGATCTGCAGACATGGTTTTGTGTTGTATATTGAGTTTAAATTGATTTTGATTTAAATTTGATTTTAAAATAATCCTTCAAAAATTGGCCAAATACAATGGGATATAAAAATATAAAAAGATATAGTAGGATTTACTCCGTGCTAATTTGTCAAAAAGTAATAAAAACAAAGGCTAAAATTTGGAATAAAAATCTTAAACTTGTGATGCAAATTCTATTTCAATTCACTGTAATCATAGAAATTCAATTTTGATCCAAATCAATTTAAACTTTACACCATTTAAGAATGAAAAATTCTTTTTGCAATTTTTAACAAAATTTGGCCAAAAATTGGGTACCATTTTATAGTACATGACTACATGATTTTTGGACTGATTTTAAAGCAAATTTGAAAATTCAATTTAACTCCAATTTTCAAGTAAAATAAGAACATGTACAATGTATAAATTTATCGGAAAAATTATAAAAATAGATAGTGAAATACTTTGCCACATTATTATAATACTGGGTCTTTGGTTAAACTTGATTGGTCTACTACTCTTCATTACTTTATCTAGCATCTCTACTTACATTGTATGACTGATGTACATGTATTTCTGTAGGTATCCAATGGTGGTAGGAGGGTCCAGTTGTTTGATGCTGATGCAGAGCAGGACGATGAAGACAAGTGAACTATAACTTATTAGTGTACTGTATAGTGTTGCAACACTTTGCTTCAGTTTTAGTTCTATTTCTCGTGCATTATCTTTGTTTTATAGTTCTAGTTTTTGTACCATGTATGTATATCTTATACCAAGTTTTAGTTCTAGAACATTAGCCTGAAGAAGTCTGTTCCAGTTTTAGTTTTAGTAGCTACATATTTTATTTTTAGTTCTAGCTTGTGCCAAAAAATAGCTTGCTTAGATCTACTCCAGACTCTCCACCCAAATCATTAGTCAATAAACATTAATAAACAATGGCGTCAAGGATGTATCATACTGGCATCCGTTTTAGTGCTCACAATTCATTCAGGATGCAAGTAAAACTCTTCAGAATCACACTGTTACTTACCATTAACTTTTAGACTATTCTATCACTCAATAGGAATCTGAGAAATACTGCATCACGTGAGTCATTAGCATTCAAGCTGAACTATTATGTGTTACTATTTTTAGATGCATTCTTTGTCAGAAGGACCAAAACTAGTAATATACCAGCATACCTTGGTTACAAAGGTGGTAGAACAAGAACATTGGCAATAGTTAGAAAAATTGATGGAGACACAGAGGTATGTTCATTCTAATTATTAAGAAGTTTGTTCACACCTTTGTTAATATGAGAAGAAGGCCTGCATGCCCTCTAAAAGAAAATTTTAAGCTTAAATTTGCTTCAAAATTTGACCAAGAAACATGGGCTATAGTACATGGTGCTACTTAAAAATTGGCTAGGAAAGAATTTTGGTATGCACACGTGGTCTTATGTATCAAGTTTGAGTTAAAATTGGATTTTAAAAGTTCCTTGAGAATTTGATCAAATACTATTAGCTATAAATACAAAAATTTCCAAAAAAGAAATTTTAATAGGATTCACTTTGTGCTAGTTTGCCAAAAATTTAATAGAAAAAGATTCTCAGTGACAAAAATCTGCAATGATGATTCTAATCTTGTAATGCAAATTCTATTCTACATTGGATTTTCAGGGTTATTATAAAAATTCAATTTTAATCGAAATCAGTTTCTACACTATACAGTTCTCATGCTTGATATTTTTTGATGAAATTTTTGGTACTATAATACTGAGTATATGGTCTTTGGCCAAGCAACTTTAAAAATTTAACTTGATTGGAATCAGTTCAAATTTTTATCATTATGTGTCAGAAAAATTATGAAAATGGATAGTGAAATACCCTTGACTGTATGTACTGGGTCTTTAGTTAAACTTGCCACTACTGTTCATTACTTAGATCTAGTATCTCTGCTGACTGATGTACATGTATTTCTTTAGGTATCCAATGGTGGTAGGAGGGTCCAGTTGTTTGATTTTGATGCAGAACAGGACGATGAAGACAAATGAACTATAGTTTATTAGTACAATAGTGTACAGTTGTTCTATAGTTCAAAGTTTTGTTTACTATTTCTAGTGCATTATCTTTAGTTTTATCTTGTGCCATTTGCCAAAAAGAATTCTAGTATATCACCTTCAATAGCTCTAGACTGTATTGGTACAAAAAATTCTGATCTGCAAACATGGTTTTGTGTTGTATATTGAGTTTAACTCAAATTTTCAATGTAAAATAAGAACATGTACAATGTATATTTATTGGAAAAATTATAAACATGGATAGTGAAATACCTTGCCGTATTATTATAGTACTGGGTCTTTGGTTAAACTTGATTGGTCTACTACTCTTCATTAGTATTTCTGCTTACATTGTATGACTGATGTACATGTATTTCTGTAGGTATCCAATGGTCCAGGTAGGAGGGTCCAGTTGTTTGATGCTGATGCAGAGCAGGACAATGAAGACCGTTGAACTATTTCTTATAAGTACTACATAGTGTTGCAATACTTTATTTCTATTTCTTGTACACTATCTTTGATTTATAATTCTAGTTCTTGTACCATGTATCTTATAACAAACCTTAGTTCTAGCTCTAAGTAAAACTGAATAGTTTTAGTAGCTGCATTTGCCCAATTACTTTTAGTTCCCCCAATTACTTTTAGTTATATTTTTAGTTCTAGTGTACCATGAGCCAAAAATTTATATTTCTAGTACATAACTAAACTACATGCATTATTGACATCAAAAAGTATGTTATTACTTATGCAGTCCAGTAACTTAGTCCACACCGTACCCAAATCTGCATTCTCCACCCATATCCCCACCTATTATTCGTGCAAGCTGCCAAGCTCGAGGCCAAGCTAGTTCTATAGTAGTCCCATTGTTTTAGTTCTACGTAGTCTCTAAGAGTACTAACTGTACTGTATATGCTGCACGAGACTAATGCTGTACTATATACCGTATAGCTGGTTTATTTCGTGGCCTCATATTTTTGCTGCTTAAATTTTCATTAGAATTAATTTTAGTGCCTTGCTAAATTTTTGTTAATATTTAATTGGTTTTAATAAAATTTAGTGGAATTAATTTTAGTGGATTTGAGCCTGCACGAAAATTAATTCCACACGAAATAAACCAGCTATACGGTATACAAGAAAAACCGAGAGAAAACCTGTCTGCACTCACGTGGTTACTGGTTATTAAAACAATGGCGTCAAGGATGTATCATACTGGCATCCGTTTTAGTGCTCACAATTCATTCAGGATGCAAGTAAAACTCTTCAGAATCACACTGTTACTTACCATTAACTTTTAGACTATTCTATCACTCAATAGGAATCTGAGAAGTACTGCATCACGTGAGATGCCATTAGCATTTTTAAGCCGGCACTATTTTGTGTTACTATTTTTAGATGCATTCTTTGTCAGAAGGATCAAAAATAATAATATACCAGCATACCTTAATTACAAAGGTATTGGAACAAGAACGTTGACAATAGTTAGAAAAATTGATGGATACACAGAGGTATGTGCATTCTAATTACTGAGAATTGTGTTCACACCTTTGTTACTATAAGGGGAAGGCTTGCATGCCCTCTAAAAGAAAATTTTAAACTTAAAGTTCAAAATTTGACCACAGAGCATGGGCTATAGTACATGGTGTCAAGAGTAGATAAAATAATTAAAGGAAAGCTATATGATCTGTTGCATCAAAGTGTAGAAATGAAAGTCACATAGGATTCATTCCGGCACTCTGTGCTAATTTGCCAAAAAGCAATAGAAACAAGGGCAAGTAGGATTAAAATCTGAAATAAAATTCTACTCTTGTGACGCAAATTCTATTGTACATTGCATTTTTAATACTATCATAAAAAATTAATTTTGATTGGAATCAATTTAAACTTTCTACACTGCTTAGAAGCATGTATCACGTATAAATGTCATAAAAATGTAAAATTCTTGCTTTCAATTTTTTGATGAAATTTGGCCAAAGATTGTGTACTATATAGCCTTTGGCCTGATTTTTAAGCAACTTTAAAAATTGAATATTGATTGGAATTAGCTCAAATTCTTAACGTAGCATAAGAACATGTATAATCATAGAAAATGGATAGTGAAATACCCTGTACTACAATACTGGGTCTTTGGTTAAATTCGACTGGTCTACTACTCTTCACTACTTTTATCTCTGCTTACATTGTATGACTGATGAACATGTATTTCTGTAGGTATCCAATGGTGGTAGGAGGGTCCAGTTGTTTGATGCTGATGGAGAGCAGGACGATGAAGACTGTTGAACTATTTCTTATAAGTACTACATAGTGTTGCAATACTTATTTCTATTTCTCGTAGATTATCTTTGTTTTATAATTCTAGTTCTTGTACCATGTATATCTTATACCAAATTTTAGT